AGTGGGGGGCAGCCAGGAACCCCTAGAGCAGGGGTTCCCAACCTGTGGGCCGTGGACCCCTGGTGGTCCACAACGATAGTGCAGGGGGTGCGTGGGAAGTTTTAAATGGTTGGATCGGGCACGTCCTCCCTTTTGTTTTCTCCCACGGGGTGTGGGAACTGTCCCGTGAAATTTTAATACATTGAAAAGGGGTCCGTAAGCTCAGAAAGGCTGGGAACCACTGCTCTAGCCTAATGCATCTAGACACCTCCACTGTCATTCACATGGCTGGACGACCCCCGTTACAGCGGCTCTATTATCCTTGGGGTCCTTCATGCTTCGGGGCAGCCACCTGACCCTTCAGCCTTCTGGTTTATTTCAGGCCAGCATACTCCACCTCCACCTTCCATTCGGTAGGGACCAGCCAAGCAGCAATCACAGGGACTTCTCCCTTTGCAAACTGAGTCTTTGGTGGGGGGGGCTCAGAGGCACTTCTGAATGAGACGTAGAACGGGTCAGGCAAGATCTGGCCAGTCGGGAAAGCACAGGGGGGAGACGTAACCTCATTGCTCCGGCCCAGTCGCCTGCTGCGAATTACATTGTGCCTGCTTCAAAGTAACCCGGCCCTGTCGAATGGAACCTGGCGCAGCCTCTTGCTGCGCGCTACTAAACATCTGCCGCGTTTTGCTGGGTGGGAAAACGATCTCCTGGCGGTCGGGGAAACCCTGGCCATGTGACAGCTGCTTCTCCACTGCAGAGGTTTTGCGTGGGCATCTTGGGGAGGATCCGCAACTCAGCCAGCTCAACCCAGGAGCAGCAGGAAAAGGAGCCGGCAGCTGGCAAGGGGGAAGGGGTTACGGGTTAGGGGCGACGCCGCAGACAGGCGCCTGCCTCCCGTTTGTGGTTCTGAAGCTGGGCAGAGCCAGCAGACGGGGCAGTCGCACCATGATATGAGGAACATGGAGCAACAGTTGTACGGACAGAGTGGGTTTGCACTGGAGCGTGTGATCAGGGCACAGCCATGGAGCCAGCTGGAGAAGAGCACGCCGGCACAGAAGCACAAAATCTCTGCTTTCTGCAGTAGACTATCCCTCCTCTAACCACGGCACCTGTGGGGAGCAACTGCCCCCGGCGAAGGAGGCACATGGGGGCCGATTCCCCTCTCTATTGTCTATGCTTTCACTTACACCAGTGGGTGGAATGTGTTCCCAGCTCCAAACAGCACCATCTTGGCACT